TGTGTGTGTTTCTCTGGTGAAATTCAGTATGGTTCCGACAACAGTTTTATGTTAATGTATAATCCTTAATATGTTTTAAGTGAGGGGGGGCGGGGGGGGGCAGAGGGAGTGTTCGCCCAGGGCGCCAAACGGGCTAGGACCGCCACTGACAACAGCAACTATGTACTTCTGGTGGACTACTACTCTAAATTTGTGGAAATAGCCAAACTGACTCCCACAAGATCGGATGATGTTATGGTGCATCTAAAGTCAATCTTTTCCAGACATGGGATTCCAGAGCATCTCTACGGTGACAATGGACCTCAGTTTTCAAGCCAACAGTTCAAAGACTTCACAGCAGTCTGTGGGTTCAGGCATGTAACAAGCAGTCCAAGATTTGTACAAAGCAACGGTGAGGCTGAGCGTCATGTCCAAACAGTGAAAAGACTACTAATATATATTGTAGAGACCCCCTCAGGAGCCATCAGGAGAAATAGGCATCACCTCCAGCCATTGCCAGATGTTACACCAAAGTTACAAACCCCAAGTACGCCAGTCAGTCCATCAGAGAACGCCCTGCCTGCTTCAAACCTATCGGCAGCTACAGCTCCGACTCCTAAGACAGCAGACCCAGGTCCTGTCAGAACTAGGGCTGGGTCAAAAAACCACAAAGACTGGACTTATGAAAACAAAATAAACAAAAATAAACAAAACAAGACATGGGTTTAAAAGTATAGGAAAATGGTGAGGAGAAAGAAAAGTTTCTATAAAAGGTTCTAAGAGAAAAAAAAGAGTACAGCTTTCTTATATGCAGTAAATGTTCTTGTAAGTTTGATTTTTTCAGCGAAAGGAGGATGTGGTGTAATCTGTTTGAGTATAACCCGTTTTATTGTGAAAGGGGGTTCTGCGACAGGAAGTAAATAATAAAGTTTGAGTTTGAGTGGCTCTACAAGGTGTTGCTTGAATGCTTGCCTAAGAAACATGACGACACATACAAACAACAGCAGAGAGAGCACAGACCCTAAGTCTGCGAGGCGTGATTGCGGATGAAGCTCAGGTGCGTCTGACTCTCCTGCACTGCCGGCCACGCCCTGCAACACACATTAACCAGGTAAAATAAATATTATGCAGATATTTTGCACATATTTATTTTTAATTTTTTAGGAGCTTAATGCTTTTTTCCAATTATTTTTTAAATACAGGTCAAGGCTGCGCTACACTCCGAAAGCCCAAAGGCAATATAAGGATGACAGCTCACAACAGTTTTTGTTTGCTACATGGATAATGTACCCCAACCGGTCGCAGCTGATAGCCCCGCCCCTCCCTGAGCCTGGTTCTGCCGGAGGTTTCTTCCTGTTAAAAGGGAGTTTTTTCTTCCCACTGTCGCCAAAGTGCTTGCTCAGATGCGGTCATATGATTGTTGGGTTCTTCTTTGTATCTACTGTACAATATAAAGCGCCTTGAGGCGACTGCTGTTGTGATTTGGTGCTTTATAAATAAAATTGAATTGAATAATTTAAGTTCAGCTTTTTTATTCATTTAAAAGAGGCTTTCAACTGGTTGTCTTTATTTTTTGTTATTATTTTTTAAGAATTGAAAATGTATTCATTACACACAGTACTTCATAGATTTCATAAGCAAAATGCTATAGTTGTTTATACAAAGATCAAAAACAAAACAATATACACAGTGTTATCTTCATTTTAGATGTA